GAGAACAAAGCAGTAGTCTAATTCCCAAAAAAAAAAAAAAAAAAAAAAAAAAAAAAAAAATCAGTGTTTCGAACCAGTATTTGCTAGCGTCAATTTACTGTGTGGCAGACCAACATAATCCTCATTTAAATTAAGCCTACACTTTTTTTGGGGGGGTGTACTAGGAATCAATCTCAGGACCTTGAACTTGCCATGCAGGTGCAGTGCTGCTGAGCTATATCCCCGGCCCAAGCCTAGACTTTTGTAAAGAGAGACTATGCCCCTTACAATTATCAATGTTTGGGTGGAAATGCAGGAAACTGCTATATTCTGATCCCTCAGCTGTCATACTTTAAACTGTTATTAAAACAAAAGGTTGGGAGTATTATCTTTGCTCTTAGTCTGTATTAAGAAAGAAGTATGAAAATCACAGGGAATGAGATTTTTATGATTAGAAATGATCAGAAGATATTAATAATCATGCTTAAAGACAGTGCTTGGAATGAGAACAGGTCATTGTCTAAATAAAACAATATCTAGCTATGCCATGCTTGGAAAGGAGATGGGACAATTCAGAGAACACAACAGTAACAGAAATGAGGCTCAGCGATGGTCACATTAGTTTTTCATATGCTATACAGTTGTTATCTTTTAGGTTTTCTCCACTGAGAAATCCTTAAGCAGATGAAATACTGAAATTTCTAAAATAGCACACAATGCCATGTCCCCTCTGGTGACTGATAAAAGTAAATTAAAAATATGCTCCTAAGTTTTGGTTGAATCTTTAATGTGAAGTTAGAAAAGCCCCAAAGTTAGGAAGGCAAGATGAACAAAAAGTCTTGGTTTGCAAGTGAAGCGGCCTTGTAAGCAGACTTCAACCTGATTAAATCTTACCATTGTCTACAGAAATTCCAAGCACACTTGATATCTTTCTCACACTGAAAACACAGAAAAAGTCACTTTGTTATTGGATGTTTTTCTACACCCTCACAAATTGATTCGCGGACTTTATGTTTTCACAGTGGTGCACAGATTAATATACATTCAGAGCCGGAGTGTCAGAATGTGGACGCTTGATCAATTACATGCATAAGAACCAGAGCAGCAAAATGAATCGGTCCCAGATGCTCTTAGGAGATGCAGGGAAAAATTAGTGATAAAGTGGTTAAGGCAATGATCCAAACAAAATTCAAAATACTGAGACTGTTTAGCTATTAAACCTGCCACATTTTGTTATGGGAATGGGGCTTTTAGGAGTGGTGCCATAGTTGACCATGTTCCACATTATGTCACTCCCCAGTGCTGAGGACTCTCCTCCAGGAAAGGGAATTGTACCAGGAGCTCTTCATCCCACTTGCTTTGAGCTGGAAGAAAAATCAAGTTGGCAATGTGGTGTGGTGTGGTGTGGCAGGACTCTCCCCTCTGAGTTGGCAGAGAGATGGCTGGCTGTTACGATAGTATGTCATGGGACTTACTGTGGTTAAAAGTGACAGAGTTATCCAGGCTGCCCAGCTGCTGCAATCTGGCATGCATCATTCCTGTTCTGTTACGGGAAACAGGCAATGTCTGAGATTTTCGATCATGACCTATGGGTCCCAACCCCTCCTGGTTCCTGCAACATGAGTGAAATGGGATAGAAGCAAAAGTTAGATGTGTTACACTGCAGCGAGATGGGAGTGTTAGCTAAGCCAGGACACGGCACAGAGGAGGCAGGCCACGCACTGACTGCAGCCAAGAAGCCAGAGACAAGAACAGGTGGCAGCTCTTACAGAGTTCACAGCAAAGCACCTGACAATGAAGAGCAAATATCAGGCTCTCATTTCTAGAAAGTGAGTCCTTCTCATTTCTAGAAAGTACTTTACAGTGACTTTTAAAACAGTATCACTCCAATATGGAATTAAAGGTCAACATTCTGACAATTGTCAAAACATGGAGAACCTTTCTAGATTATCTACGTTATGAAAGAAAAAAATATAAAGATTAAAATGAACTGGGAGAACAGAGAACAAACATGCAATGCAAAGGATTACATGAGGCAGTTTAAACACCTTTATTCTTACCCAAGCAGGAAGGAGAAGAGTCACAGACTTTGTTAAACTTGTCAGCAGTCAAGTAGAGAAAACAGAAAAGTGATCTGGGTTAGCAATCAAACAGCTGACTTTCTACTGTGTACCATCACCAGAGCAGACGGAAATGACACCAGTGCTGGAATGACATCTGTCCCCCATCCCGGAGCCAACCATGCCCCTCACTGTGTTACTGTGTGTAGGAGAACAGGAACATGCATGGACGATCATGAACAGCATGCTACTGGGTGACTTCCAAGTGACAAGGAGAAGGCACAGTGTTCATACAACTGGACCACCGTGAATGGCAAACACTAACAACGTTCACATTATGGTTCTGGATCTTTGTCACATGCAGAAGAGACCATGGCAATTTTGTATAAAGCAGAGCATATCTTTCCACAGTGCATGGAACAAAGTAATACCATCTCCACTCCCATATTCCTCTGCCCATCTATTTTTAAGGCAGTCTATATTTGCAAATATATACAGGGGCTTTTGATGTTGGACAGTTTTAAAATTTTCTGAGAAAAATCCACTGAAAAAAAATAACCATTTTGTAAAACCCAATTCTAAAGCAGTTTTTCAAGACAGATATCTTCAGCTTCCTACATTCACCATTTTAAGCTCTGAGGCATTTTGTTCTACTTGGCACAATATTCTCCAAATGCCACAGTGTGATGTAAGTAACAGTACCCACAAAAAGCATGTGAAGCTTTCCCAGCACAGTACTTGTCCGTTACAAAACATTCTGCTTGCCCACCTTCATGGGACAAAGTCAGAGAGAATAAAAATGAATGTGTGAGATGTTACTGGTATAAAGGCAACCTGTATATACTTGCATTTGGTACTGAAAAACTCAAACATAAAAATTACTGTTGTGATTAAAAATAAAAGTTAAGATTAGAGAACTTTACATGCTATCACATTTCAATTAAAAATAGAAATAGAAAATTTTAATAGGAGGAAAGCAGTCTCTCTAAATTTGCTTCTTTTTAAAACTCACTCTTTTATTCCTTAAGAGAAATATATTTATGATCCCAAAAGAGAACAATGTTAATATAAAAAGCAAATCTTCACACTCGAAAAGTTCTATTAATCTGTTGTATTTCATTGTTATAAAAAAGAATTACAGATAACTGAAACAAATCTCAATTACAACTAAGCTTTAAAGTTTTTCTTTATATACACATATTTACTTATAATTAAACTGTTAAAAAACAAAAACAGAAAATATAACACTTAGAACAAGACTCTGCATGCACACTAACACAGAACAGCTCACAGCACAGACACACTGCATGGCACAGGGCAGGAAGAAGAACTTCCTAAGGACACGATGTGCTGTGAGGAAGTGCTCTCAGAGGAGCTGTCTGCCATGCTTCACCAAGGAGCTTCTAGCTCTCCTGGAACCCGGGATAGGGCAGCAGGGAGTTACAACAATCAAAGGGTCCCAGTCATGTAAGAACACAGAGAACTTACTGATTAGTCAGAGTAAGAAAAAAAGCTCCATTTTAGAGGACTATGGAAGTTCCACTAATCTGATACAGGATAAAAACATTCAGGAAAGTAGAGTGGTCGGTGAGAAATTAGTACCCTCGGAGCTGGAAGGAAGAAGAGCAAAAATAACCTTTGAAAGTAAGAACAAAAGAAATCAATGAGGAAGGAAAAGATACCTGAAGAAGAGGAAGAAAATGAGAAGAAGAAAACAGAGCGGGAGGAGAAATTGGAAGAAAGTGTGGACGTTACCAAGAGGCCACTGAAGACAGTGTTTCCAAGAGAGAAGCATGAGACGCTTGAGATAGAAGAAGAAAGTTCTCCTCGACTCTGTGGTGGCAACGAGAGGTCTGCCAACTGTCCTCACGACTGCGTAAGTGAATTCTGCTGCCACTCCCCAAAGACAACCACTCTCACACATTCAGACCCAAGAAACATGGAAAACGACACGTCATTTCAGACCATACTGCCCCACAGTACCTGGCTATGTATCGCTTCCCCATGTACTGGAACTGGTGCAAGCAGACTCTGCAGGAAAGATGAGACATTATTAGGGAATTGTGATGACAAAAATTTTTTCAATAATGCTGTTTTCTTTAAGCCTATTTACAACAACAAATTCAAACACTGAGAAAATGAGTAACCTGGGAGGGAGATCTCATGCTATGTGGCTTTCAGTACTATGGGGAGGGGGCGGACCGAAGAACAAAGACCAGACTGATGAGACTATCCATCACTAAAGGCTGGCAGATTTATCGGATATGCGGGAGACAATACTACTGTCCCAAGCTGCTATTCATTCTCATTCACGTCTACAGAAGGAGCTCTCTCTTTTGGCTCAAGTTCATGGACTGGTCCTTTACAGACATCGAGTATGTAGTTTTTGCTTTGTTTTAATGTATCCACAAAAAAAAAATTCTTAAAAAAAAATCACTCATTTAATAAAAGGCAGTTAAAACAATGAATCCTCTGGTGCTGAATTTTGATTGACCCTGTGAAAACGCCTTTATTTAACTCAGCAGAGTGAGTGGTCATGAGTCTATGAACCAAGACTACAAACCAACCTCCTGTTAGAGGGCCAGGACCACAGCCTTCCACTTCTGATTCCAAAATGCAAAGACTGAAAATGAGTTTCCACACAAGTTTACATGAAATATGACCCCCCAAAACAGACACAAAGCTGCATAGAGAAAGTGTAGAATTTCTTTCTCTGTGTTTTTACTGCAGATGCAATCATATGCTTGACTATGGAGTGCTGCATAAGACGCTGTGGGGACATTATGTGATTTATTACTCTATACATAAATTTTTAAAAAATCCAAAAAATTCTGAATTTGAAAATCATCTGGGGCTGGGGATTTAGCTAAGTGGCACAGCGCCTGCCTCACAAGCACAAGGTCCTGAGTTCAATCTCTGGTATTAAAAAAAAAAGTGAAAAATCATTTGGCTGTAGCAAATTTGGATCTGTGGATCTGTGTTTCTAAAGATAAAGAACTTAGAAGAAACCAGACACTTACACTGAAGAGATAAAATAAGATAATATGGGTACTAGATTCAACTTAGAGAACCACTGTATATTCACTTCAGTGGATACATTTTGTACTATTTTATTAGTATGACTTATCCACATAAGTAGTCACATCTGTAACACATGTATCTGCAGTAATTTAAGGCTGATCACTGTCTACTTGTTCACAAGCTCTGAAAATAGGTGCTAGGGTCAGGTCTAGAAGAGAGACCTTAAGGGATGGGAATTCAGCTCAGTGGTTCTGCTGCCTGCCTTGAAAGCAAGCCCAAGGTCCCGAATTCAATCCCCAGTACCCCCCACAAAAGTGAACTTAGTAAGAAAGGATGTAACACACACTACATTCCCGACTCAACTGCACAGTGTTCTTCACACCAAGAAAAATCAAGACGCAATGAGCAAAGACAAAACTACTACTCACTCAGATATTGTAAAAAAATCCATAAGTTCAGATGTCGAAGCCTTGTTCCAGTATGTAAACAGAGCATCTAGAATATAAACATTTACTTGGTCAGAATCACCATACTTATTATCATGGACATTGTGAAGAATGGCCTATTATTATGACAATCAGAAGAGGCCCCAGAGTTTAGGCCAATAAACACTTCTTCTGCCCATTTTATAGTTGATCAAAGGACAAACCATACTGACATGCCTATCTTGGATAAAATTCGTAACAGGTTTACTCAATTCAACAAAGCTATATTTGAGCACCTGAACTTTAATCTTATCATGTATTTTCTGGTGCAAATTATATTACAAGACTTATTTAACCTATACATAATGTACTCTTTAAGTAGACTAGAAAATTCAAAAAATACAAGTGGACATATAGGCTGTCTCATTTCATACTGCAGAATCTCTTCCCAGCAATGCATTTGTTGAAGATTTCTACACACTATACACACCGTGTTGTCTTTTAGTTTTAACTGGACAATACAGTACCTCAAACTTTTCTAAGTTGCATAATATTCCTCTCTATGGCTACATCATAATTAGAGTAACCAATACCCTACTAAAAGATATTTACTAATTTTCCTTAATCTTTTGCCACTATACTTTTTTTCCCCTTTCTTTTCCTTTCCCCTCCCCTCCTCTTTTTTCCTCTCATTTTCTGTTTTGACACTAAGGATTGAAGCCAGGACCTTATGAGCAAGCTACATCCCCAGTCTTTTAAAAAATTATTATTATCATTTTTTGAGGCAGTGTTTTGCTAAATTGCTCAGATGGGACTTGAACTTTTGATACTCCTGCCTCAGCCTCCCAGACTGCTGAGATTACTGTGTGCCACCACATGCAACCTCACATGGATTTTTGCATGCACATCAAATTACATCTTATGAGGTAATTCTTAGAAGTAAAATACTGTAACAACAGTAAGAACGCTTGTCACTTTGATATTGCACAGCAACGCTATCATTTCACAGTTAAACCTTTTTGCACTCTTATATTTTATACTGAAGTTGAAACAGAAGTGTTATTTCCCTTGGGGGAAAAAGGCCACTGAATCTTTGGGGGCTAAGATGAGTAGAGAGGGTGGCTAGAGGCTGATGGCCCATGAAGATGCATGGCCATGGACTTTTCACTCTACACTTGTCAGGAACATTGACAATGATGGATGACAGGGCTACACAGCAAGAACACACATGCCAGGCACTGTATCAGATGCTCTCCCCATTTCACAGATACCCCTCTTCCTAATCCCATTCAGAAGAGTTTCCATTTACAGATGTACTAACAAAGGCTCAGAGAAGTCAGGTCATTTTCTCATTTACGTGCCACAAGAAGCATGTCTGACTAGGGATTTACAAGTAATTCCAGTGTCCCATATTTGACCCATAGGCTAGAAATGATGTTGGGTCAAGAAGCCCCTATCTTTGGAGAGTATGAATTCAGAATCCAGGTAGACAAACTGTAGCTACTTTGAGGTTGATCATCCAGTGAATGCTGCAGTCTCTCAGGGTCCTCCTCCAGGCACCTGTGGCTACCCACGGCACACACGAAGTAGTGGTACAGCACTATCCCCGCTACGCTTAGCTCAGGACTTAGGTTACTGGCTTTGTCCTCTAGCTCTATAACACAGGAGGTATGCAAGAAGACAGAAAGGGGAGGGCCTGGTGCTCAGGAACTCACTCAATGTGGAAACAATAAAAGGAAAGAGTAGCAACAGAATAATCCAATTAATTTTGATTGCCTGGTAGGTAAATAATCTCTGGGGGCAATTTTCTCTCACCCTACATTACACACAAAAACCAACTCAAACTACATGTTTAGGTTTAAATGTGAAAATTAAATAATACATCCTTCAAATAATAGAATATTTATGACCCTGGGCAGAGGTTATTTCTAAAATGAGTCACATACATTTTATATAAAGGAGAAAAGTGATAACTTGAAGGCAACTGGGAAAAAAGGATATTCTAAAAATTGTTTTGAAGAGGTGGTTGTATTTTAAAAATGTGTATGGTGTTGGGAAAGTTAGCTATTCATATGCAGAAGACTGAATGTAGACCCCTATCTCTTACCATGTACTAAACTAAAATAAAAATGGATTGAAGAACTAAAATGTCAAAACAGAAACATTTGACCTGCTAGGAGATAAAATAGGTAAAACTCTTGAAGTCATAGGTATAGACAAGGACTTCCTGAACAGAACCCCGGTTACACAGGAAATAGTACTGAGAATCAACAAATGGGATCATATCAAATTAAAAGCCTTCTGTACAGCAAAAGAAACAACCAACAGAGTGCAAAGACAAGCTACAGAATGGGAAAAAAATTCTGTCAGCTACTCCTCAGGTAGGGGACTAGTATCTAGAAGATGCAGGATAAAGAATTTAAAAAATTAGACCCCCCCACATAAAAAACCCAATCAAAACAGGCATGTAAAATGCAGCAACATAAGTACAAAAGGCCAAAAAATACACGAAGATTTTCAACGTTGCTGGTCATTAGAGAAATGCAAATTAAAATAACACTGAGATTCTATCCTATACTAGGAAGACTGGTCAACATCAAGAAATCAACTAATAAATGCCCGTGAGGCTGTGAGAGGGGGAAAAAGAAAGCCTGTTATATTGCTGGTGGGAATATAAACTCTAAGACCACTATGCAATTCAAGAAATTAAAACTAGAAATTCCACTTGATCCAGCTATTCCCCTTCTAGGTATCTTTCTGAAAGAATTAAAGACATCATATTACACTGATACATGCATACCCATGTTTATAGCAGCACAACTCATAATACTAAATCTTGGAGGCGGCCTATACAGTATGTCCATCTACAGGTGAATGGGTAAAGAAAATATGATACTTAGACACAATGAAGTATTACTCTGCAATGAAGATAAACTAGAGTTATTTTTTGTAAAAGAGAAACACCTTGAGACAATAATGTTGAGTGAAATAAATCAGACACACAAGCTTAAATATCATGTCGTTTCTCTTATCTGAGGAACCCAAATTATAAATAAAGAGCAAAATAAAAGATAGATATTAGGAAATGGGGAGACAGATCTTTCACGAGTGGCAAAGGGATCAAGAGATGGAGGGAGCTGGGAATTTAGCTCAGTGGTGCTGCTGCCTGCCTCGCAAGCACAAGGTCCTGAGTTTGATCCCCAGTACCAAAAAACGAAACAAAACAAAGAAGAGATGGAGCGAGGTGAACAAAGACGAGGGAGAGGGGATGAAAAAAGGAATTAAGGTATGTTATGTACATGAACCAACTCTACACAAGGAACATTAACATTATGTACTGCAAATAAATGCTAATAAAAATAAAACAACAACAAACATATCCAACTTGTCAAAGGACTAAATGTAAAAGGTAACTTTCACTTGGATGCAAAAATTCTGGTATACGTGACTTTAAAAACCAGTTGTGTTCTAATTATATATCATAATATTTGAAATTCAAAGTATTTCAAAGAAAACTTTAAATCAAGGGAAGAAAAAGACTATATTGCCAGCTAAAACTCACTGCTATGAAGGAAAATCTAGAACTTGGATGTAAAGAATTTTAACTTTTATAACCCAAATATCAGTGAGTTCCCTGTGCTTTTGTATTTGTCATCATTCAAGGAAATGTTGTCTCTTCTCTATTAAATAGCTGCTTGAAGGTAACAGAAAATAAATTACCTAGTCCTTAACATTTTAAGGACAAGAAGGTCATTATTACCATCTGTGTTGTAAAGTCCAGCTGCTAATACTGTTGAAGTAGTTCAGTAAAAACAAAACACCTTACAGGTAGAAACACCTTATAGATGTTTACTACCCAAACTGACCGCCACAAGATATACACAACACAGAAGGCCTCAGGGCTCAAAAAAGGCATTTTGCTTTCAGCAGAGTTTGTTTTAATTCAGTGACCTTAAGGAAGCTCATAATATACCTTCTAATTTGTTGTAGGGAAAATATACCACATTTTTGACCAGGATAAGAATTATGATAGCAAAAGGGACGTAATTTTATGAAACTGGTTAAATCACAAAACCAGGGTTGAAACAGTCCTATCATATATGTTTATATGCTTCATTTGATACATATAAAACATTAATAGCTCTGCTCATTTTTATTTTAAAAAATACAGTCATCACTCTCATACTCAGTAACATAATCTGCTATAATATCACTATTTTCACTAGAAAATAAAATAACATACTTCCCAGTTAAAGCCAGGAATATCATACACATACTTCTAAATGCCTACATCCCTCAAAAAATGTTTTCTAATTCATGAGACTGACGAGTATAGTTATTCAAGTTCTCAGTAAGTTTATTTGGGCAAACAAAATTTGAAAAAATCAAAAGCCTCTTCATTTATCTGCTTGTATCTTTTAGTTATGCTGGAAGGTCCAAGTTTAATAAAAATTTAGAAAATAGTACCATTCACATTTTAGAGTTCATTTTCTAGAGTAAAATAATTAACAAAGCTATTTTTCCATAGTAAGTCTTTTATTTCTACATTTTCAAATAAAATTGTCTTATATCCTTATATTTTTCAAGCAATTACAATTAAAAAAAATTAAACACTGAAACAAAGAAAAACAGAAATCTTCATTTTTTACCTACCATCAGACATGCTTTTTAAGATGTAGAGGAAACACATCAGCAGGCTCTTAATCTCAGACTGGTCAAGTTTGTCACAGCGAACCACAGCATTTCCCAAAGTGCTACTTTGTTGGTGCTAAAAATGAAATACAAGTAATTTTTCTGCTTCATTACAGGCGAGAAAATTCCTTTCACCTTTCTCCCTTGGAAGAGAAAGAGTCTTAGACTTAAACTGGCAAGTACAAGTAAACTATAGGCATAACACAACAGGCACACCTTCACCCTCATATATACACAAATGCTGCTATTTAAAGAGCTCTGGCTTGTCCCCTTTGCACATTTTCCTAAGGGACAAGCCAGAAGGCACAAACCTTTCACACTGGATAACCACATTTTCAGTTATGCCACATAAAACTTCATGCAAAAACGCATGTGTGCAAGGATCACACAGAGAAGTGAGGATGCAGAAGACACAGCTCAGCGGCCCAACTCCTCAGGAGAACAGCTGTGGCTGCAACAGCAAGGGAAGCCTGAGGGGCTGCTGTGTACCAGCCACACAAGCCCAGAGCGAGACCCTGCCATTCAAGGACACTGTGGGGCATGTCATGGGCATTGCAGGGGAGTACACCTGGCAGGTACCCAAAAGGACCAACAGGAGTACCTCAGCACAGCACTGCTAAAGACCCCAAACTGATGAGGTTATTCCATCATCAGCTTAGCTCAACACTGCAAACATCAGAAAGCTCAGGTCAGAGGGGCAGTTTTACCACTATACAGCAGGTTCACGGTAAGAAAAAAAAGAACGTGAATCTCAACTCTTAATTAAATACACAGGAGATTTAAACATCTTCCAAGTTATATTTCCAGTGGAAATCAGAAACATTTTTTGTCAAATACCAAAGCAAAAATATCAATAAAAGATTATGTTTCACTGAAGGTGTGGGTGGCCAAATGAATGTATCTACATAATAAACAGGGTTAATTAATTAGATATGTGAACATTTTTATTTAAGGAAGAAATGCAATTTAGTGGCAAAACTGGTACGGATGCATCATGTCGCCCACTCGTTTAATCAGGGCCATGAGAAGTCAGTACTTCTTGCGGTGGGAGGGAGGGTGGAGCATGCAGCAGCGGCTCTTCTGGCAAAGGTGGAATCGAGAGAAGGGAAAAGTCCACAGTGACCCGGTTTTTCCTGGCTGACTGGCAGCTCTCCTCCTCCTCTCCAGCACTGTGTATGACAAAAGCGGAGTGCCTTCGGAGCAGCTTTTCCCTCTACACAGGAAGGCATGTCGGGGTCAAGGGAGAATTTCAGCATGTCATGACACAAGCTCAGACTGAGACGCTTGCAACCTGACACGCTGCATTTAAAGACAGTCATGTCAATGCCAAACATGGATTGTGTGACAGGATTACAAACTAGGATGTTTTCTGGACATGTTGTCAGAACTAGGAACACATCCCTACCTGTCCATTGGTAGAGGTGCTTTCCTATCCCTTCAAATAACATGGAAAACAGTGCCCAAGGTCTTTCTATTCAATCTATTATGGTTCCACGTTTAAATGCAAGCTTTAGGTTTTGCCACCAAATTCCAAAGAGTCTGAGCCTTCAGTAATTTTAAGAAAAAAGGTTAAGTATGGGAGGAAGTATAGTGGGCCCAGTGTGGACAAAGTGATTTCAAGTTATGTCTCATCCCTGAATTACTGATATGATCAATTAATCTTTTCTGGAGCTCGCTTTGGACCTAAGCCCTGTGCATAAATACTGTGCTACAAATGGTCTCCTCCAACACACTGTGGACATCTAAATAGAGAGCATTTTGATTCCCTCAGTGCTAAGCTGCCAGAATCATTCACTCAAGGCACTGCATTGCAAATGATGCCCTGATCTGAGATCCTAGAAACAGGAAACCATGTGTTTCAAGGGGCTGGGGGTGAAGTTCAGTGGAAAACACTTCCCTACCACGTGTAAGGCCCTGGGTTTGATCCCTAGCAACACGCGCGCGTGTGCGCACACACGCGCGGGCACACACACACGCGCGCGCACACACACAATAAATAAATAAATAAATAAATAAAAGTAAAAGTAAATTTTAAAAAGGGAAGAACTTCAGGAGACAGGCCTCCAACCTTAGAGAAAGCTCTGATTATGTACCCCAAGTTGTTGTGGTTTGTTTGTTTGTTTTTTTTTTAACATTTAACAAACCCTAGAATAATGAAGCATGTTTACTGTGCTAAATCCATTAGTTATACAAAACACTTACATGATGTGAAATTACCTTATCTAGGGAATTGCTCTTCTCACTATTTCTTTCTGGAAGGCTGTTACCCGAATCTGTGCTTATAAGAGACCCTCTTGAGTCAGCACTTCTCACACTGTTGATGTTTGGAGTTGAAGTTGTATATGGAGAAGCTAAACAGAAATTAAGGCAAGATCAGAGTTTGTTTTTTGTTTTTTGGTTTTTTTTGGTACTGGGATTGAACTCGGGTCCTTTCACTTGCAAGGCAGGCTACTGAACCACTGAGCTAAATCCCCGGCCCTAGATCAGAGTTTTTGTAAGACAGAACAAAATAAAGATAAGTACTAATAATTTTAAGGTAAATTACTTTTATGGCACTTTTTGTTGTTGTTGTTAGGAAGTTGGCTCAGGAGTTGTACTCAATTACTTAGTCTTTAGAAACCACGTCATCATATAGTACAAGATTAAAAGACAAACAAACAAACAAAAAACCAAACTTCAATCTGAGACATTTAAGCACAAATGTCAAGTCATTTGTAAACTACTTTTGGTTGCTCAGACTACAGGGGCATACACTGTTTTAGAATGGGATGGGATGAAGATAAAAAGTTATAAGGTAAGCCCACATACAACTATTCAATAAAAAATTAAACCATATAACAAACCCACGATATATAAACTATAGAGAGGTGCACAAGCAAACTCTGCGGTGTCATCAAGGAAAGAAAATGTTACTTGACACTGGCCTGAAATTGCAGCTTAAATATTGGATCTTATGTTCCTTTTGATGATTTTGTATCTTTGTACAGCTGGGTATAAAAAGCAAGCACTGTGTATATAGGGTATAAAAAAATCACTGTGGAACAGAAAGTGAGAACGGTGGCAGACCAATCTGATTCTAAAGCATGAAGGGCCACAAGTTTCTGTTTGGCACACACAACCTTTTGGTAATAGTTGTCATTATTAAAAATGATATAAAATATATTTTTAAATTTATGTGTATTTTAAATGCATACTAAATTTTAAAAATATAAATATGTATTAAGTTATTTGGTTTTAAGTTTCTAGTAAACAGAAGTGTTAACAGGTAAGTTTTAATAAACAGAACTATTAGTTTTGGCTTGGGGATACAATGAAAAATTACCATGACAGTAAGGTTCACTCTCACTGTCTGTGAGTTGAAAATCTGTCACAAAGTTATGAATAGAAAGGAAATCTAATTTGGAAATAAACTTTGTGAAGTCCCTGAAAAAACAGCATTTGAAATCAGCCTCTTCCTTGGCACTAAGGAATTTTTTGTTTTTGCTTGCTAGCCTCAAACTCATGGTGTTTCTCTGGCCTCGGTCCCCCCAAGTGCTGGGATTACAGGCATGCACCACCACACCTGGCTCTAAGGAATTTTTTTAAGGTACTAGATTGACTTCCTGTTTAGATGAGTTAAATTACATAATTAAAAGTGACTCAATGGACTTGTACATTGTAGCACTGAACCAAAATGCCTACTTCCAGCAGAAAGGCCTGGCTGGGTTTGCAGCTGGCATGAGGAGTCTGTTGGCAGTGGGCTTGGCAGCTATTAATCACAGCCTCCTAGACTGGCACCCACAGCAGGCCAGACACTTTTAGACCTCAGTAGGCAAATCAGCCGGCCTGGACTAAGATACCTCTAAGTTAACAAAACAAACGTAACCAGCTCCTGAGTCACACCAAAGATATTTTTTGTCATACTTTCAAATGGCATTAAGAAGTCCTTTCTCAGACCAACATCAAGACTATCTTTAACCTCAGACCTATAACATAAAGGTTGTAAATCCTTCCTGTTCCCAAACAGCATTCAGATTTATTCACCATTTTCTCTAAGATAATTCAGTGTATTATGACCAAGAAAAGAAGAGCAGGAGGAATTTGAAAATATTTTGTAAGTGAAGGCTAGAACAGGATGCATTTCTAAACCATATGATGGATTGTCATAGAAGTAGGTGAAACCCTATGAAAGAACCAAGACCCTTCTTCTAGATGAAGGGTAAAGAAACATACAATATGATCAAGTTATAATTCTCCTAATATAATTGTATTCACAGTTGAGATACATGAGTTTCCATAGCATAGTGGTTATCACGTTTGCCTCGCACAGCTGAGAAAAAATACAGAAGTCAGGAGAAAGAGCTGTTGAATAAAGTCAAATTAGACCCTAAAGTCTCAGATTTTTAGGTTTGATCCTAAAACAAGAGTCCTAATTTAAGACAAGCAGATGCAAATGCAAGGAATCAGAAATAACATAGTTTATTCCTGTGGCGGGGGGAAGAAAGAGAGAATTTAATGTCCTGATGCAGGGTCTGACTTTTAAAGATGTTAAACAATAAGTAAGTAAAATGTAAAGTTTAGTTCATCCCTCTCTCCTTCATACGCAATAGTCCAATGTACCTGGTACACAAAAAAAGGAATGTTTGATTCCACAGAGTAGTCACAGAAACCAGATATTAAAATTTTTGACAAGCTCTTAGGCTTGTGGATTTATCTAAGTGGCTACTGAGAGGTATCAGAAAGCATGAAAATCTTCAATTTTTTTTTTTGCAAGGCAGGCGGTGGAACCACTGAGCTAAATCCCCAGCCCAAAACTAACCGAACCAGGTTTGTTACAATGGCAGTCAGTGAGTATTTACCAAGCAAGCACTGTACACACTACATTAGCTCTTCATCTCTGACAATGGCTCTGTTTTGGAGATGTGGACATGGAGGGTGCGGAGGGTGGATGCCCTGCCATTACCATGGCAGTGGTGGACAGACCCAAGGCCACCTCTGTCTCACCTAAGCTAGTGGCACGAACTGCTGCAGATCAGTTACCTCCCCACTCCCAGGGCAGCAGTTTGACATGCAGACAGAGCCGGACAGAAACAGAATGCAGGCTCCAAAAATGGGCAAATGGAAACTTGCAAGAGCACCCAATATTGCTACATATTTACTGTATGCCGGTCTCTGCTATAAGCATTTGAATGGATAACTTTTACAATGCTAAATGAGGGAAGTAGAACTATGCAAATTATACATAAATATAAAGTAATTGTTAGTGGTAGTACAGGATAAATTTGGGCATTCATATGGGCTTTCTTATTTTACATTTTATTTTCCCTGCTTCATTACTTACTATGTAAAATGGCAATTTAATAGCAACACAAAACTAAGAGCATGCTGTCAAAGTGGACAATTAATTAGAATAAAAGAGTGAACTTTTTTTCTGCCCCAAGTTTGTGGTTATTAATGGTTAATTAACCACTAGCCATAGTAGGATGCTTCATTTATTCAAAGTGTGGTAAAGAGAGGGAGGAAATACAGACAGAAGACTATCAACAGCTATGTTAATTCTTTGAGAAAAAGATACAGTATCATTATCTTTATGAAGCTGCAGCTCCATTAGTCAGAATATTAATAGTTACATTTTCTCAGGGAAAAATAATTCTATTTGAATCTTAGTTTGCACCATCTGTTTCCTCCTCCACGGGGGCTGCTCTTCCACTGTTTCATATAGGAAAAAAAATCAATTTTTGAAAACCGATTTTAGGATTGAGTCCTAGCCACAAACTTGTTTCCTTCAGGAACTACTCTGTCACACCTTATCTAAACCATCACTATTACAAGTAAATCTTGCCCCCAACACCTGCAAAGATCTTCATTTTCTAAAAATATAAACAATCCAATTAAGATTTAAGAGTCTCATGCTGTACCAACTAAGCTAGCCCAGCACTTCCAATTAAGATTTAAAATGTCAAATCAACTTAATAAGCATTTAATAAAAAGCAAACAGCCTAGGTAAGTGATTAAATGCACTACGTTCAGGAATCATAAGAATTTTGGGAATTTTTATTACAGTTATTATGTTTAAGGAATTTTTGTCATGAAACATCGCCACCAGAAAGAATATGCAAGGCAGAAACTCATACACCCAAAGTCCTAATCCCCAGCTGTGACACATTAACAACCTTCATATTACAGGCACTGTGTACAAGCCTGGAGAGAAGGCTGTAAGAGCATGGAGCATTACCAATGCCAGAGATGGCGCCTAAGAGGTCTTTGTGCAGGCTGTGGTCCAGAGTGTTTCCCTTCTGTGGTGTCACAAGTGTGTTCCCAGCTGGCAGAGCAAGGGGTTCATCCTTCACAGTCTGTCAAAGAAGAGAGAAGAAACAATCAAAGACAACTGAAGGAAATTCACCAACTGTTCTTGGAGTGTGAGGAAACGTAGGGATGAGATAGAACAGCCTGACAGCTCAGTGTGCCTGTGTAGGAGAAGCAGCCATGTGGCATGGATGAAGGAAGAGATGCAAAGACATAAGAGAAGAGGTGAACAGAGAAAGGGCAGGGGACATTCAGGTGGTGGGGAGGCATAAGAAGTCTTGTTCCCTGAAGTCATTCTTTCTCTTCTCCTAGCAGTTCTAGCACCTTTCCCAAGCTCTCATACCCAATCTTTACACTGTTTCAGAACTTGCCTCCTGCAGAAAATAAGTGCTCTTTCTAAGTGGAGCACTGGTTTTTCCCTCCCAAAGGAGCCACAGGAAGTAACAGCAGAAGCAATGACTCTTTCTGGATCCTTGGACCTTGACACGAACTCGTTCAGTGGAGAAACTATATTAATTTTAAAGTTATATCAAAAAGAGGGATTTTACTTTGATAAAAGCCAAAGAAACATCTTACATTCATTTTTGTCAGGAATGAAACAGAACAGGAAGATTGCATTCCATCCTATTTATTCTGCTTAGAAAGAGTTAAGAGAACATGCAAGAGGAGGTTGACTATTTATCAGGTGAGATCAATGAGCTGCCTTTAGGACAGAACACTAGGCGAAGACAAAAGCAGAAGACATTCAGCCAGAGGCCAGACAACGCTAAGGACTGCTAGCAACCACCAGAAGCTGAGAGAGAAGCACGGGGCAGATTCTTTCCTACCGACTCTGAGGACATCTTGACATGGACTTCGGCTTTTCAATCATGAGAAAATAAATTTCTGCTATTCTATGGCAGACAGTAAAACAAGCCGTGCCCATGTAACCATGTTTACGTACACTGCCAGGGTTCACGGGGAAAGGTGACACATCCCTCACATTGATCCGCTGGACATTTTCAATAAGCAGCCCGAACAGAGGCAGGTAGAGAGTGGCTATCCTTGCCTGATGACTCTGAAACAAAGATACACACAGTAAGTTTTTCCACAGCTCTGAGATGTGAATGATGACCTAAGTTGGCATCAGTTACCTGTTTTATTTGGATCCTTCCTGTAAAAAGAGATACTTGATTTTATTCCAAAAGCAAAGTCTTAGGGCTGTTACCATGAATTTTCTAATTGGTGATTCATTATCACTTAAAATAGGGAACACTTTTCAATGTGTATCCAGGGGACTACTCACCCTAGATGCGTATCTGTCATCAAAAGAATGCTTTATCAGCAGGTTCTTGAGCACACTGATGGCAATCACACGGACCTCCCGGAATTCTTGGAGGGCAGTGCCCACTTCTCTCAGTAACAGGCCCACCAAGAAGTGGTTTCTGCAGAACTCATCCGTTAATGAGTAGTCAAGCTGGAGATCTGAAACGAGGGTAGAAACTATTTTAGTCCGGGAGGACCCAATAATTTCTGAATAAAATAAAAACTTAGCCAATCCTCTGTATTCAGACCACCCTGTGTACATCAACACATGATTAGACTGTGCTTCAAACAGGAAAGGACTAACCCTAAAATACTGTTCTAATTTTTAACACATCAAATTCCTATGTAAAAATCAAACTTAAATATGAAGAATTATACTAGATTTTTATTTTGGAACATATGGACTTCTACACAACTGTATTAGTGAACAGTTTTCACACTAATTTTTAGAATGTAAAACAGAACATGTTCTATTACAAATATAGTTTTTTGTAATTGATAAAGTTAAAACATAGTCACTGTACTAATATAGACATAAATATGTAAATACATATATGTAATAATTAAACATTAATTAAATATATGTATTAATTACAATGTTATTTACATCTTGAGTTCAGTTATCTCCTTTCTCGTCATCAACACCCAGAGTCCCCATGAAACCCAACATGTTTAAAATAAGCAAATTTGCACAAAAACTATCTATTCTGCTATCACTGAATGAAGAATTTATTTTGGTCTAAAATATTCTCTTACTACTTCTGGACCTCTAAAAGCAAAAAAATGTAATAATAATATAAACTAAAACTGAAGTGGATAAAGCACCAAACTAGTAACTGAGCAGCAAGCTGAATGGCAAACTGAAAGCCCTTCTGGAAAAGACAGATACAAACATGAGCTCTAGTGAGGGAGGGTAAATAACAGCAGCTAACAGCTCTCTAATGCTGCAGTATACTAGGATTTGAGTTGGTATACAGACTCCATTATTAATCGAAATTCCACAGATCTTTCTTCTTGGACTTTAACCCTATGCTGGGTAGTTATATCCAAATCTAACTGAAATACTAACCCAGTCCTATGAAACCCTTCAGTAGAAGGGGAAGGGTATTAATTTTTCCAGAATAATCACATTCACTTTTCATGATTATTAAACTCATTTTATCCAAACTATAGTTCACAGCTTAAATTCATACAGATCTCTTGGGAGGAAACTATTTATAGCTTAACTATGCATGTGCTTAAAGACATGTGCAGATGACATACACAGGTACACCTGTGTGTGCATAAAAAAGATTTATTTCTATCAGTATGGCAAGGCCCATTATCCATATATGGCCCACGCCCACATGCTTAGGGCAGCCTTCCTTGCTACCAAAAGCCCTGAAGTCCACTGAGAGCTTGAGCAACTCTGCAGGCCACATGAAGGATTTCCATTTCACTCAGTTCTGCATGACCAACAATTTGGCCCAGACCACTCAGGGGGCAAGATGGGCATTAGCATGTTTCCTGCCCAACCTTTGGCACAAAGAGTTTTTCTCAGCACCCAACAGGGGAAAGGATCGAAGACTTCAGTGTCCAAGTCCAGGTGACTGTGAGGTGGGAGAGGATACAACAAGATTTGGTGCAGGTGATGGGAGAAGACAAGGAGCTCCTGGCAACTGCACAGGTGGTAAGTACCAAGTGATTTCTGGAGAGGAAGACGAAGATTCCCCAGAGAGAGGCTATGTGAAATTGAGGGGTATCAAGGTGGGCACGGTATATTTGAAAAGCTGCGAGTAAGCAGGTATGCCCAAAATGTGGGGAGCACTGGGGCATGAGATCAGAGAAGTGGGCCAGGGTTAGACTGTGCTGAATGCCTGGCTGTCCCCTCAGCCAAGGAAGCTTTCTCCTAGACTTGTGAGGGCTTGGCTCAACTTCTTTATTCCGCAATTGGTATCTGGCCACCCTATCAAGCATCATGGCTTTTTCCATCTTCCTTTCCAAACTTTTTTTTTTCTCTTTAGTATTTATCTAGTCTCTAAAATTCTGAGTATTTTATTATAAAAAAATGGCCAAAGGTTTTCTTCCGTTATCCACAGCTATATCCCAAAGCCAAATGTACCTGGTGCTGGGTAAGTATTTTCTGAATATCAACCGTAGGGCCACTATCCTCCACCTGTTCCTTGTAAGATTGTGCAAGTGTGTTTGAAGGGAAAATATGTGTCCCTGAATGTCTGTTTCTCTCTGAATTTCAGAGATATCACTAACAGTTTGTTGACATCCTTCCACTTTCCCTCCTTTAGCACAAGGAAATGTGAGCATATATAAAGCACTAAACTTGATGAATATAACCTGACAGACCAAACTAAATTTTTCAACTTGATTTACTCAGTGAAGACAAAGTAACCTCTCTGAGCTCTTCTTGCTTCCAAATTACAGAGGACATAGAATAGTTAATAAAGACTCAACATGCAAATGCACAAAGCATGTGAAAAAGCCATGTAGCTGGTGATTTGGGCTGGGGGTATCACTGTGGAGGAGGGCTATGGAAGTGGGGGAACACATTTGGGGGAGGAAGTAGGCCTATCTTTGTTCTACTTCTTCAAGAAACATCCCAGAGGACCTAGTGACCTCAGGAGCAAGATGGCTTTGGGATGTTACAGCAATGTCTTAGCCATAACGGAAACAAATTTGCCAGTTAATCAGGAGTTTAAGAATTGATAGAAGTACACAGGAAATCCTAAATGAATGGCTATGTAAGCACTTCAGCAATCACTTGCATTCTCGCTTTTAAAGGAGGAAAATGCAAGGAAGCAAGTATCACATCCCATACCTACCTACAGGAGTGTCATTTGACTCCACAGTTGGTGAAAGAAAAGCTAATTCATAAGGAAAAGGAAAAGTGAAACAAATAAAAATAAACTAAGGTAAAATGGATTTGTATTGCTTAAAGAATTTTTTAAATGAAGAGAGAGTCACAACTGGCATGATCTATAGTCTGCTAAAAAGTAAGTTTCCATATATATTTTATCAATACTTTTTGAAATGGAAATTTAACAGAAAAAAGTTAATTCACTGACGAAAAAAATCAAGAAATTCTAGTATCATATTTGAATGGATTCTCATTAAAATGAATGGTTCTCTTTGTGCAAAGATTAATGCATACAAAGATAAATTACCTTGATATCTTTGAATCCTGCCTTTTCCAAATGGCATTGGTAAGTTCAAAGGAATATAATGTTCATGGCTGCACACCACCCGGAGAAATTCAAATTTGTATTCAAAGAGGGTCTGTAGGAAAAAGTGTTTAGTTATAAATTAAATACCTCAATGGCTATGAAAAATTGGCCTCTTTATCGAGGTTTCAGCTCCTCGACCCTTTGGGAACTGCATCCTGTATTCCAATTTACAGATTTTAAAATGGCTATAGGGATTTATCTGAAAACAGAGGACACATTTCATTAAACAGTGTCCTCAGCTGACTTATAAGGCATTTCTTACTTATACACTTATTTCCATAAAGTATTTCAGTAGCTTGTAATTATACAGACTCAACGCAATAATAAAAAACTAGCAAGGCAGAACTTTAAAAACATAAAAACAAGAGAGGCAGATAATTCCACCAGAGAAAGGCTACATGGTTAGCTCTCTTATTTTGTGAAGTAAGCTGTAACTTTCAACATATGTACTTTAAGTTTTACAGCTGAGAAGTTATTTTGAGTGCCTGACAGAAAACCAACTGGAATGTTTATTTCTCATTCTAGTTGACTATCCCTAATATCTCACATGTATCAGTGCAAGAAAATGCCAGTATTTCCAAGAGAGAAGTGAGCTGTCCCATTGAAACTGAAACAAAATTCCAAAAAGAGTGGATAAGAATAGGTAGATTTCCACATGGGAGTCAGCAAGACACAAGAACAGGACACAAGAGCCACGTTACCTTGGGGTCTCCAGGAGCAAAGCAGCTGATGTAGTTGTTGATCTGTTTAAAGACGAAGCCCCTGTCCATGAAGGTGAAGCACCTCTGTGGAGCAAGACAACCCACAAAGGTCAGCCATTCAGGCCCACACTTTTTGGAAACTAGAGTTTTAAAGAGCACTCAATGCCAGTAAGTTTATCCTTCAGCATAAAAATAGGCCACCAATGCTGGCAGAGCACCTGCTCTAGTCACTCTGCAAGGTAGCTACTTAAAGAGTCCATCTTAGTCACATCTGAGGAAGACCCCACCTTGATGAAGACAGCGAGGCTATGGTTTGCATTCTTAGATGCCTCAGGGTTATCTCGAAATTTCTGAGTGATGTGTGGCATCAGCATATTCACAACAGTTTCCACTGCATGATGATAGGAGGCAGGAAATCTCTGGTTCCGCAATAACTAAAAGAAATTCAAAGCAAAGTTATTTTATTACAGTTGGGATTCTTTGGGATTAATATAAGTCATCCCTGAACTCATTTTTAAAAACCAAGAGTTCTAATCTTATTTGTCTGAAATTAGGTAAAATGAATCACCCTTCTCAAAGTACTAGTTATACAAGTGATCAAATAATTTGAATAAGTGCTACAGATCCACTTTGATAGAATAAAGATCTCTTTGGACGTTGCAAAAATGTGGTGCTTCAGTTTCTATTCCCAGAGATTCTGAACCAAGAGCTTGGCAGGAAAGCAGCAAGAAGGGGCAGGAACCTGCATTTTTACCTAACATCTCTGACGATTCTGAAGCCTGTACCTTGCAGAGACCATTTTAGAGAGCATTGGCCCAGGCTTAAGTGCCAGGTATTCAAAGTATAACCACAGAAACTGAAGACTGCCATGACCTGTTTAAAATGTTTGGCAGCAGCCTGCTTCAAACTAATTTTACACAATGATCTTCCCTCCATCATGAAACTTCCCCTATTCAGCAATTATCTGTAATTTATCACTGTACATCTTCTACATGTCAGGCAATGGACTACATATTTTTATATACTTTTCTGTTCAATTCTTCTAAGATCCCTGAGTTCAGTCTCATTTTATAGAGAAGAGAAGCTAGGAAATGTATATCCTCAGTCACATAACTAAAACAAGTCAGGCTCAAGTCAGATATGAGTCTAAAGCTTCTGCTCTTTCTGCTACATGAGGCTGTACTGCCTCCTCTTGGGCTCCACACATGGAAATTGTGGAGAGCCCAAGGGTGCAGAACTAAGTGCACCATTACATCAATCCATTCATTCATGCACGTCATTCCAACTGCCACAGAGGGGAGTGCTGTCATCCCCATTCTACAGATGACAAAACTGAGGGTTAGAGTTCAGTAAAGAGTACAAGTTGATCTTTAACAGCCTTCTTTTTCTGCTCCCTTTTGGTAACTGAACCTCTGGGTCATTCAAGAACACATGGCAGCCAAGTTTGACTGTATTTCCCAATCTAACTTGAAGTTAAATATTGGCCACGTGAGCGAGTTCTTATCGAAGGTCTGCAAGAAATAACAGGTGCCTTGTCTAGGCCATGCCTCTAAAGGAGCTGCTTATTTTCTACACTCTTTCCCATTCTGGACTATGTCCTAGTGGTGAGCCAGCTTCTCTACCATAAGGACAGGTAACACCATAGGCTGGATAATTGGGTAGAAGGAGGTTGAGTCCCTGAATGACCTTGAGGAACAAGCTGCCCCTTCTCTCCAAACCGCCTACCAGCTCATAATTCTTCAGAATATAGCAGCTCATAATTCTTTACAATATAGAAGTGAAGCTTCTGTCTTATTTAAGCCACTATTATTTTGGATTGTTTCAGAACTGTCAGAACAGCATCACAATGAATAGGCAGTATTTTACAAAATCTGAATTGGGACCTAGATATTACTGGCATGACAGCATGCATTAGTTTATGCATTAAATACTAGCATCTACTATGAAACATTAGCTTTATAATAATTTTAATTTTCAAATAAACAGCAAGGAAATTTTTGTAAACTTACATATAGATTCAAGAATCCAGCAATGTAGGATCAAGTTACAAGTGTATGAAGCTTAACTACTTTTAAAAACAGAACAGCTAGTTTTGAAATTTCACAGGGATTATGTCCTGTATATGGGCAATCACTCTCTGTCCTGAGGGGTTAGCATTAATAGATGATCAGCCCCCAGGACCTCTGGAAAGGCCCACTGACCATCAGAGATGACTGCCACATACCCCAACTGGCAAATTCTGTAAAAGCAGTGTCCCAAGAAATGCTTATGTCCTTCAGACTGAGGCTAAATCAATGGTTACTAAAACTGAAAAGTAGATGAAGAATTCTATCATGCATGGATTGAGCAACCACCAGGAAACCTGCTAGTCAATATTATTATCACCAAAAATGGAACAACCAGACATACAGGGCTCTTGACACCATGCAGTAACCACCAGCTATGAAGTATATCCTCGCTAGAAAGAAATCAAACCTAAATCAAACCAAGCCTCTAGATGTAACTACATGTTTAAAAGAAATTCAGGGAAAGTAGAATCATGTTATATACACTATGGGGTTATTCAGCCAAATCTAGACTGTGGGAAATTCTGTTGGACAAATGACTCACTCTCTTCAACAAATACTACATTGCAATAAAACAAACAAACAAATGAAGAGCAAACATTCTGAGAATAATTTAAGAAAAAAAGCTGAGAAACATAAACTAAATGCAGTATGCAGACTTTATTTAGATCCTGACTCAGCCAAACCAACTGTAAAATGACATTTTTGAAACATGTGCAGAAAAATTAATATAGATTGTGTTACATGACAACAAAGAAATATCACCAATTTTGTTTGATAGAAGGATATAGTAGCTCTTTCTTTTTTAAAGGTTTATTTGTTAGAGATGATACACTAAGGTTTTGATAGATAAAAATGATAAAATTTGGGGGACTTGCTTTTAAAATATAAACAAAAAAGTGTGACGGTGGCTATATAAAGCAAGAGTGATAGAATGTTCAGAAATTGTTGAAACTAAAATAATGATGTGAGATTACACTATTCCCTTGATTTGTGTATTAGAAAATCTCTATAATAAATTTTTATGTTTTAAGACATGCTAGAGAATAATAGATATTTATATTTCAACTCATCATTAATGCTGTTTAGTGAGTTAGAACTGCTAATTTGGGGCCTTTGAAGGCTAAAGTAGAACTCTCCCAGCAGCGACAAATACTAATTTGGCAATAAAATGAACTAAAGCCTTTTAATGAGGAAAGATATACACCTAAAGGTAATAAAGATTTAGGTAATTAGTTGCTTTTATGGAGATTACTACAAGCTGAAATGGAAGGAAAAAAACCTAGAATAATGGGCTTGTGCCAGAGTGGTGAGTATATAAGAGTAGCTCAGAGGACAGGACTCAGACACAGAGACTTCACCGCCAAACAAACCTCACTCCTGAACATGGCCTGTCGTAAGTTCTCTCGCCAACACTGCTCTAGCATCATCCCCTCTGGCCCGGGCAACACCATGTACTTCAACAACGAAAGCAGTGGGAGTAGCATCTGCCTGCCCCGCACCTGTCCACGCAGGACCAGCCTCCTTCAGTCCACCTGCCATATGTCCCGCCCAGCACTGCACTGTAAGCCAGACACCTCCAGACCTTCCTGCTGGCTGCTCAACTCCAGCCGCTTGGCTCCTCGACAGAGCGGGATCTTCCTGAAGACCCACACCCAGCCTGGCTGCAGAGGTCGCTGTGGGCGCTGCTGCTAAAGACCGGCTTTGCCCAGCACCCTGTCTGTCATTTGTGCTCCTGACATGCTGCTGCCTAAATCTCAGCTTCTCCTGTGAGGGCTCTGGAGCAGTCCTCAAATGTTTACATTTGTGTTCCTTACTGTATTCTTGTACTTTTTGGTGAGTTTAGAGGCCTCTTTTCTATGGTTTATTTCACTGTTCTCTGAGATATAATAAATAAGACTTTTCATGAACAAACTTGATTTTTTTCTGGCTGTGAACAACAGAAGCAATGGGGCTGAGAAGAAATTTGCCAAACATGTGTACCAGCATTCAGAAGTTACTTTCCTCATCAGAATCCCTCTTTACAACCCTCTTCGTTCATTTACTTCTATAACTTTTCTTTCTCTTACCTCCTCAAAACTTTCTTTTTTGGGGGTGGAGGGGTGTACCAAGGAATTGAACTCAGGGCCTCACACTTGCCAGGCAGGCACTGCACCACCGAGCTACATCCCTGGCCCTCCTCAAAATTTTCATTCATAAAAATCAGTCTCTCTAGACTCTCTACCTCAGGTTTCTAACTGGAGGACACATAATGGAGGAGACCCCTCCACTGTGCTCTAAAATCTGGCTGCGTTTGCACCACGGCTACCCAAGCCTTGCATGGGCTGTTCCCAGCCAGTGACTGAAGGTGGCAGGGATGCTAAGGCAGGCTTCTTCTGCAGGACAAGACTCTGGTGACTTGACTCTTGTCTTGGGGACTCTCCAGTGTCCTTGCCTACTTCTTTTAGAACTGCAATGCAATCTAAGATGCTTCCTTCCCCCTTTTCCCATAAACTTGGAAAATACCTGCCCTGTAGTTTGATGGCTTTCCCACCATTTCCTAGGCTATTTCTCATTTTCCCTCATATGCCTTACATTCCAATAAATCTTCTGCGTGTCTAATTTGATCTGGTAACCTAGACTAACAAAACACAATCATTTTTCAAAGAAAAGCTTAGACTTATGGTTTCAGCATTCTTATGCTCACAAATTTGTTTCTCTAGTTCTATTCTTTTCCTCGCCCAAGCCTGAGCCTCCCACCTGCCAGCTGAAGTTTGGTTCTGTCACTGTCCTCTGTACCAGCTACTACTGGGTGCCTCCAATATTTGTCCCCACTTCTCTTTTATAGAAACAGAACCTCAGCTTTTAACTGGGTATACAGACTCCTAGAATAAAGACTTGTCTTCATCAGAATCGCTTGAAGCTAGGTGTGGTCATGTGACTAGGTCTGGACAGTGCTCTGTGCAACTTCAGGGTCATATCCTTGAAGTGGAAAAGTGTTTTCCCTTCCTACTGGCTACCATGTAGATGCTGTGGTGAGGTCCTAGTTAGGTCAGGAGAAAGAACAACACTCCAGGGGAACAAAGCAACAAGATGAAGTTTAAGCCCTGATAACTTGTAGAAGAGTCTCCACATGAGCTTGAATTGTTATGAGAAAAGAAATAAAATTTTCTTGTTTAAATCACTGTTATGTTTGGTCACAGCAGTTGGACCTATAGCCTAAAGCTTAAGATATTCCAAGCAAATTTTGTCACTTTCCATCTGCCCTGGTAAGCCAAGTCTCCTGCTCTACTGCCCCTCTCAAAGTGTTCTCATTCAGCATGAAGGGTGGCTTTCTTCCTCCACCCAAATTTTACTTTACTATGTTCTCTTTAAGTTCCATTTATTGA